CACAGAGGATCAGATTTTTAGAAGTGCTCAGCACCTAAAAGTTTAATTGTGGTGTTTGTGGCCAGATTTTCACAGGAAATCAACATGGACCCAGAATGTGAGCTCTTTCAGAATTCTGGTTTTCACGTGTGGTTGCCGAGCTATTTTTGAAAGCCTGGCTGGCTGCAGAAAACATACTCTTTAGCTCTCAGTTGCTTCCCTACCTAGTATATGGTTAGCTATGTGACATATAAAACCAAATGCAGTATTCATCTTCCAGAAATAAGTAAATATTATAAGCAAATAATTAATAATCAGATCAGTAAGAAACAAAGAAAAAATAACCAAGGAAAACAAACATAATCAATTCAGACTCCAAAGTCTTCTAAAACAAATCGCAGAGGTCTCAGTTCTGCAAAATATATGAACAGATACTCAATTCTAGCCCTGTTCAGGAAATCTTGTTAGGCAGATGCCTTTAACTCATTGATTCCAATGGAATTTACACTTCATGGCTTTGAAAGAAAAGAGCAAATGCAAGAAGAGAGTTTAAAGTAGGTAGACAAGTGGAGAAAGTAGGGAAAAAAACCCACACGAAAAAGAAACTATGCACAAAAGATCAGTAAATTTAAAAATACAACAAAAGCCACTTGATTCACTGGACAATTGCTGTCCAGTATACCTAACAAAATTACACAAGCAACACACAATGAAAATACAAAAAAGCACCAAAGCATTCAATTTGGAACCTCGCTAGTTAGTGGCATAAAAAGATGAGATTCAAGCCTACAACTCCTGTGCTCTGACAATGTAGTCCACTTGATGGAGCACTGAGCTGTAAAAGGAGATTATGATAAGTTTTATAAAAGATTTTTGGAGGTCTGTTGGTGACAAAGGACTGCATTAGAAAGAGATTTTCAGAGTGCTCTTTCACAACAACTTCCTAATTTTTTGACTGGCTTTTTTTAAAAAGATTTGTATGTTGCCCTTGGCAAAGAAATGATAGAAGATTCCAGCTCTTAGGCATACATTGCAACATAACCAAGGATGAAAGAGAGGAACAAGTTCATCCTAAAGCATGTTCAGGAGTGCATACACAAACCAAGGATATTAAGAATGATGCTACGTTCCAGGGCTGGAACAAACCTCAAGAGATGATGTAATTGATCCATTTCCCCCAAGACAGGCTTTACTGAAAGCCTGGAAGAGAACGAGAGGAACTGAACTACCATCCAGGATCTTTGGTCAAGTGCGAAGATGAAGAGTCTGACCTGAGAAAAGCACTTCTACAGCTCCCTTAGGAAAATGCCCACTGATCATTCTAGACTGCCACCAGATCACGAACATAGTTTTGATTAATAAGTTCAGATTTATAAATTTAGCACTTCTAGATGAGTCACAACACTTATGACATGGCTTTTTACATGTGGTGAAGGCTCCCACAGCTATTCCATGTTTGAACCACAGAGAAAAAATGGATAAAAAGTGACTTAGATTCCTTAGTCTTCACTTGTGCCTCAGCCTAATTTTTAAGAACTATGGCCATCATTTTGTGCTAATTATTGTTTTTTAAAACCAAGTTTCAACAAAGCACCATTTCAATAGCTTAAAGCTCAGAGTTTGGTTAAAAAAAAGGCACAGGCTAGGGCTCAGGATACATGAAGTTTCATTCCTAACAGTGCTACAGATTCCCAATGGAATTTGGCAAACCACTTAATCCCACTGTACCTGGATTCCCATCTGTAAAACTTCCAAATTGCACGGTAAGGACTTCAGAGTATTATCTAGAGTGCTGGGTATATGCAGAGCAGCTTTTCACAACACTGATCTTATACTAGGGGCTTTTAGGCTCAACTGCAGCATAAGTCATGACTTTTATCTTTTTTCTAATTCCTTAAGAAAAAAGAAGAAAAACAGAAGACGGTTTCCTGTTCTGCCAAAAGGAAGAGAGGGTGGGCGCAAGGGTAACATGCAAAACATGCCCAGGTTCACCACTCTTCCTGTTTGTCTCTGCAAAATTACATGACAGATGACTCTTAGCTAGTTTCAGCTTTGCTAATAATTTGAATGGCAACCACTTTCTTGCATGGTCTGGGGGAGAATAGTGTCTCACTCTGGAGTAATGCCCGAGCGCTGATGCTGCTGCCCAAGTGCTAGAGGCAGGAAGTGCAACTGCTAGTCCATGAAAGAGTGAAAGTGACTACCTACAAAGAGATTTTTACATTTTACAGACTTACAAAGCATATTTAGGCTTCTAAATCCAAAGCATGTATCTAATTCGCAATGATTTTGGTGGGAGTCTAGCAGCCTTAATACATTTACAGATCTTGCTAGAACTACTGGCAAACACACAAAGCAAAAAAAAATATTATAGGGATCACTTTTATGTCTTTTTTCTGACTTTCTTCTTTCTTCTACTTAAACTCATAGCAATCTCAATGTCTGACAATCATAGAGAATAAAAATACTTAATGAAGAACTTAGAATTTTTCAGGTGGAATTGAGTTTTTCACAGCTTTGAGATGTCAGAATCTTTTAGGTCTCAGAGATCTTGATCTCCTGGTTGCCAGAAATCAACGAAACCCATGGCCTCACTCACTAAAAACCAGGAAAATGACATGGAGGACACCGGAGAAGGTAATACAGAACCTGCTGCTCAAACTTATAAATCCACCACGATACCATACACTGCAAATAGTTCCAGGCAATATGTCCGTCTGTTTGCAGCACAGCGTACACATCAGCTTCTATTCTTCAAAGCTCTACAGCAACAGCAGTATGACATGGCAGAACTAAGGGTTAATAGCTCTGCTAACTTCCCTTCAAACTCAGAAATCTCTGTTCAGCACTATGTTGTATGCTGTGTGTGCTGTATTTTTAAAGCACATTTCTCAATAATCATTTTATACTATTTTATGTTTTAATTCAAGCAGAAGTTACAAGTTAGATGAAGGCTGTGAGAAATCAGATGACTTGTGCAGGAGGTGAGATAAAACAATCCGAATGGTACATTATGCACATAAAAGCTTGATATTAATAGGTTTGGTTGCAGTAATATGGGTCAAGTTTGACCATCGTACAATGCTTAGCACCTTATTTTGCCTGTGAACCTAGTGCTGTAGTCAGTAAGGCTGTGTGAAGAATGATGTGCCATTCCCCACAAGTGTGGCAGCATGTGATGCATTACAAAAGGATATGCATTTTCCCTGAAACTGATGTAAGAAACAGAAATGAACGGACTTAAGGTGGAGCTCAGAAATTCCAGCTACTTCCAAGGCAGCTCCCAGCAACTAGGAATGTTTAGCACATACTCTGCCGTATGTGAGTAAGGCCCAGCATTATGCCTTTTCTTCAGAACAGAGAGGGAAATATTTTTAGTTTCTCTCCCTCTGCTTCCCCCAGGAAAGTATCCCTTCTGTAGTTTCCTCACAAATGTGGACTCTGCAAGACCACTGAAAGGACAGAAAGGAAAGGCCTAGGCAAAGAGAAAATCTGATTAAGTAAACAGAACAGTCTCTTTCCTCTTTTGTTTCACAATTTTTAGTTCTTACCATTACGTTGTTACTTCTACCGTTTTACTGTCTCAAAAGTTTGCAAATAAATGCTTCATGCCAGCGCAGGCTACTAAGGAGAACTTTAGGAAAGGCTTAAAGTGAAAACCTTTGCATGTCAAAGTTCATGATCTAGCTAAAAGTCAGGAGGTGTTCCCAATGGCATCCACGGAGCTTTTGCAAAGTCAAAGGCCATCTAGTGGCTAAAGCTAAAAATCACGCATTTTTAACATGGCAGTATTCAAGTCACTACCCATCAAAGAATGGCACATGCACTTCCACCCAACAGACCTGTTATTAATACTAAAGAACAGGAAGCGTTTGAAGTATGTCATAGTTTGAAAATAAACCTAGCTTTTTTGGAAGTAAGGACTCTATCCAGAATGGCATCAGCAGAAATTCCTCATGCATGCTAAGCTCAGAACCTTCTCTTCCACGTCCTCCCCACTTGAGCCTTGAATGTAACACAAATCTATTTTCTGCTACTGGGCATTTACAGGAATGCCAGTGTTAGGTAGTCTCAGCATCACTAGGAACCATGAGTCAGGTGTTTTGGGGTATAATCTAGCAGATGTGCTCAGACTAGCTTCACATGCAGCCTTTCTCAATTGAGAAAAAGGGCAAGGGGCCTGCTGAGTTCTTAAAACTTGGTTGTGCAATGAGTCTAGCAAGGTTAACAGTGGGAAGGAGAGTATACTCTGATTTCCAACCCAGCCTAGTTCAGAGTCGTGAAGAGTTCATTACACCAAGACAGTATATTGCAGTGGTGTTACCACACGCAGCTTTTACTTCCCAGGATGGGCACACTAAGCGTGGCTTTTGGTCCAACAGTCAATTATTGTCAGTCCATTATGACCATTCTGTACTAGATGGATGGCGGGGTCACTTGCACCACAGAGCAACTCCTGGATGGAAAAAAACCCTAATCAACATTTCTGACTGAAAAGCGTGATGCATGGTGTTAGGAGCATAATTTCCCTGAAACTATAACACTAATGTGATACAATAAAGAATCAGGCCTTAATGTTCTATGACAAATTCATACTTAGTCAAAAGAGGTTGCATTTAAGCTTATCAAAACACAAGTAGATGGATAAAATCTGTTATACCATCATCTCAGTAGACATCTCTCTGCTCATTTTGTATCAGCTTCCTTGACTAATTTTGTATATCCAGGCTGAATGGCCCCTTAGATTTATACAGACCTACACTGACCACTGTACGCAGTTACCACTGTAGGTCACTTACTACTGACTCAGTAATTAAAAGGGTCTCTTCAAGTTCAACCTTGAATCTGTGCTTCCTGTGTTAACAGACATCATTCAAGTTATTAAAAAGAATAAGAAGTGTTCCCCCCAATTTTTTTCATTCTTTTGGCCCAAGACCAGATCTTTAACTGGTTTTTCCCCTTTCCCAAGTAACAAGAACTCAAGAGGCAGTATCAAAATCATGCTAATAAGAGAAACATACTGTGCAGTGCTTGTGTAGCGAGGCTTTGAAGTTCGCACATGGTTAAGTGGGATTAAGTCTACATCGGCATTGTCAAGGTGTTCAAAATGTACTGCACCAACACAGCCACTGTTTGGATAGAAAATAAATCAAAGATATGTACATTATTCATTAGACAGCTGGTGGAGGCAGCTGAACCATATACTGCATGCTCCAAAATTCTAGTTATTTATTAAAACAGTCCACAAGAAAAAACATGGGGACAAACTGCCCTGTGTGCTTGGCATGTCCCAAGATGAAAACAATCATCTGCTGAACTTGCAGCACATAACAAATGACAGCTGTAGTACATACGTGCAGAGAGGAGGCTTGGGAAGAATGGAAGTAAGATAGAAATGTGTCACCTCTTGTCCTTTTGGCTATGCCCATAATCAGGCTGGGATATTCTTCCAAAGAGGACGTAATGTATCCTGATTTCTAGTTTACAGGTAAAAGGCTGGAGTCACCCGCAAGCAGAGGAGACTTAGCACACGCTCTCCCTTAGCACCAGAAAACACCTTAAGATTAGATAACACAGGCCACCTATAGCTCTTGCTTCAGAAAATGAGAGATGGATTGCTTGGGCTTAATGAAAAATGTAGAAAGTAGAAGCAACCCAGGCAACCCAGGGACATTGTACTTACGTATACAAAGGGATATGACAGGTTCGAGAGCTTCGGCTTACACTGTTAAAGACAAAATAGATCAATCACCTTTTTTTCACCAGACAGAATATTCTGATAGAATATTTATGAGGTCTCAAAAGAGAGGTGGTGACAAGTCAGTTTTTCTCTTAGAATGATGCCATGCTCATTTGAATTTGGTAAAAGACCGTGGTAAATGATTAGATTGGCATATATGCTAAACGACCCAGTTCAGCAGGCAGAATCTTGTCTTTTAATCTTCATCCTCAGATACTGGGACTTCAGGCAATTTCCTGGGAGGACAGTATAAGCAAGTTTTCTTTTAACATGAACTGCTTCTCTACTTGTAACAATTCTCTCATTCAGTTCTTGAGAACATGGGAAAATTTAACATCAGGGCTGAATTTCTCTCTTGGTCTGTCCCTGCAAACTGCTCTCACTGGCCATGTCTATATTCCTTTAAAAGAGCAACATTCAAGAAACCATAATGATAGTGTTTTCTATCTCCCTTCCACCCTGCAGTGGTACCTGTCTCTCCCATTGTATGCATGAGTGTGTCCAGTAGCACACCTGTCCATTGAGTTTGCCTGAGCAAACCTGCTGGCTCATCGCCTGGAAAGGAGGCAAGTTCTAGGTTTCCCATCTTGCTTTGACCAACCTTTTCTTCCCCGTCTCTACCTGGCTTTTATCTGAGCCCTTCTGAACCTCCTGTCACCCTTTACTAGGCTCATCTAAAATGTTCCACGCTGAGACTGTTTTGGATTCTACAGACAAAAGATAAAACCTCGAGTTTGTACATGTGTATGATGAACGTGGTGTTTTCATAAATGTCATGTCTCAATGAAAACATCAGATGTGTGCAGTCATGACAATCATTCACTTTACAGATTTCTTCTTTTCTGCTTTTTATATTTAACTCTCACAGGAGAAGCATGTTAGAGTATACTTTTCATGTAGTTACTGATTGAGTACTTAACTTTTCTAGTTACAGAATGCTGCTGAATTTAGTCTTCTGAAATAATTAACTGTACGCAGACTTCATAAAGGAGGTGCTCAGAGGACCCCAATATTCACAAAAAAATCAACAGGTCTCTTGTGGAGAGATAAAAGATCTTGTTTGAAATCTGTCCCAGAAGTCTCCAACAACCTGAAATCATAATTAGATGCTTCCTGTAAGGCAACATTACCTAATTAATTTGGCTTATTAGATTTTCATGCAGCAATCAGAACCAATTGCAGGACTGAATTTTAGTTTAGTAAAAATAATAATTATTACAGTTAGTAATCACAAGTAAACTAACTTAACATGAGATTTGTTATGCTACAGCATCATTCCTATAATTCCTATCAACCAATTTTTCATCAGTACCCTTATCCTCTCTTTTGGTACTATGCATGCGTATCTTCTTCTGTACCAATTTTCAGGGGAGGGGGAGGGAAAAATATGAAATAATTTGAGGCAATTACTGGAGCGTGCTGATGACCTTAAATGCTCACTTGTGACTGTTTTTATTTGAAAACATTGCTGTGGGTTTATGTGTATGACCTATACAAAATTTAGGCTACATTTCATTAGCAAAACCTAAAACCAGTTGGCAAGAAATTGTTCACTGACTTGGCTTATTTCAGGATTGTATCTCCTTTTTGTGAAACACTGGGAAACAGGATCAGCCAACACTTCCACTGTTGATTCTGCAGGCTAGATTTTGGAAGGTAATATATTATCCCAAGGAACTTCTTTATAAGCTCTAGATCCACAATAAAAAAGAAGAGAAAAAAGTTCCTGTATAATCATTAGTGAATGACATCGGTAGCTAGATAATAAGGAATTATTAGTGACAAAGAAGGATGCAGAACATAACAAAGGTGTATATTTCTAGTTCAAAGGGACATGAAAAGCCTGGAATTACATGTTGCTTGTTGGGGAACAAGTAGTTATGGTACAGTTTCACTGGCTTATCTTCTTTAAAGCTTTCTCACTCACTAATTGAAAGAGGTAGTTTGTCTTCCAATAAGCTTACAGTGATGATGGGTTTTATTTTGTCTAAATTTGAATAATCAGTTAAGTGAGACGGGACATAAATAGAGATTAGACACCAGTCATATCATGCCTGTGACAGGCGTTGAAGACAGATGTACAGAATGCCCTTTTGGAAACTCCAGTTTCTCTTCACTGCCTATAGAGGAAGTGGAGATGAAAGGCACAGACTGGATGCAAGCTTTTAGATAACTAAAGTTCATGAGATGAATCCTATGCTAAATGCTGTTAAAACACCAGAAGTTCCAAGTGATAGAAAAATTGTTTGTAGTCTTGTATGTCCTGCTATCTATCTAAACGTGCATAGTAGCAAAAAGAAGATGAAAACATGAAGCAAAGCACAAGCAAAAACTGTTCTTAAAAGAAATGGTGTCTCACTTTAGAGTATTTGACTTGTAGAAATAGTCCCTTACTTTTTCTTCTCTTCACCTTGCAGAAGGATCTCTTAATTCCTAAGAGAAATCAAATACATGGCAGAAAGCAATGCTATCAACATATATGATACTATGATTGCTTGTTTAAAGAGTGAACTGCATGTATCTGCTTTTTCCTAGTTTACTATCTTCTTTTGCATCAGAATGAAACATGCAATTTCACATACTTCACCAGCCAGCACTGGAGATCAAGAGTAGATCTATTTCTGAGGAGGTTTACTCAGGAAGGAAAATTTAATATAGTGAATACAAGTTTAAAAACTAATAGAATGTCTTTGTCTCTCTTCTCCTCAGGAATGTAGCTTTCCGTTCATTATATTATTTATAAAATGGCACAACAAACGCACTTTGCAGTCCCTCACATATGCCTGATGTATTTGTATTATGTTCATCGCTACAAATTGTGTTCCTCAGGGTTCAATTCTAGGGCCAGTCCTGTTCAATATATTTATCAACGATCTGGATGCAGGAGTTGAATGCACCATTAGCAAGTTTGCTGATGACACCAAACTGGGAGGTGCTGTTGACTCTCTTGAGGGACAAGATGCCTTGCACAGGGATCTAGGTAGATTGGAGCATTGGGCTATGATTAGTGGGATGAAATGTAACAAGTCAAAATGCCAGATTCTGCACCTAGGACGGAGTAACGCCAGGCACAAGTATAAATCGGGAGAGGAGTGCCTGGAGAGCAGCCCTGCAGAAAGGGATCTGGGG